GTTTTATTGAATGGATTGAATCAATTTCATTTCAAGCTTAACAAGTTATGCTAGTCAACAAGATGTAAACCTGAAACCATTAAAGTGTTAGAGATTGACAATTGGTTTGCTGAGTTTTGTGACACTAACATTGAATTTACTATCTGTCCAAAAAATATTGGCATTAGAATCTTTAACCGTCCATCTTTAAAGTGTAAAGATGCCTTGATTTCTGCTGGCATGTCAATTATGCATTTCTTTACACAGTTTCCTGTGGGCTTGTATTCCAATAAAGAAACAATACGACTCATCTCAAGCAAATAGATATTTATTTAAAATATTGGCTTTTACTATCCAGTATTCCTAACAAATTTTGAAATATGTTTCAATTTTTCAAATTAATAAAAATTTACATGAATTAACTTTCTTGATCTGTGGTTTGATGAATATATTGAATCAATTTAATACCAAGTTTAACACGTTATGCTAGCTACCAAGATGTAAATTTGAAACCAATAAAATGTTATGGATTGACCATTGATTTGTTGAGCTCTGTGATACTAACAATGGAATTTACTATTTATCCAAAAAATATTGGTATTAGGACCTTTAACCGTCCATTTTTAGAGCATAAAGATGCCTTGATTTCTAGCATGTCAATTTTGTGTTTCTTTGCATAGTTTCCTATGGGCTTATATTTCAAAAAAGAAACAATACAACTTTTCTCGAGCGGATAGATATTTATATAAAATATTGTATTTTACTATCTAGTTTTCCTAATAAATTTTGGAATATGTTTCAATTTTTGAAGTTAATAAAAATTTATAGAATTAAATTTCTTAATAAGGGGTTTTGACTTATTGTATTGAATACGTTAAATCAAGTTAATATCAACCATAGCATTGTGCAAACTAACAAGATGTAAAACTTGAAACTACTAGAATGTTATGGATCAGCAATTGATTTAATTTGTTGAGTTTTGTGATACTAACATTGAATTTACCATCTGTTCATGAAAATATTGGCGTTAATTAGGACCTTTAATGGTCCATGTTTAGAGTGTAAAGATGTCTTTATTTCTCGCATGTTAATTATGCATTTCTTTGTACAGTTTCCCAGAGGCTTGTATTCCATAAAAGAAACAATATAACTCATCTCAATTAGATAGATATTTATATGAAATATAGGCTTATTATCTAGTTTTACTAACAAATTTCAAAATATATTTCAATTTTTAAACTTAATAAAAAGTTGTGTGGATTAACTTTCTTAATTTGTGGTGACCCATTGTATTGATTGGATTGAATCAATTAAATATCTAGTATATATAACATTATGCTGGCTAATAAAATGTAAACTTGAAACCACTAATAATGTTATGGATCAACCATTGGTTTATTGACATGGACACTACATTGGATTTCGCATCTGTCCATACAAATATTGGCATTAGAACCTTTAACGGTCGATCTTTAGAGTGTAAATATGCCTTGGTTATGTGTTTTTTTGCAAAGTTTCCTATCGACTTGTATTCTAAAAAGGAAACAATACAACTCATCTCAAGTAGATAGATATCAATATAAAATATGGGCTTTTACTATCTAGTTTTCCTAACAAATTTCAAAATATGTTTCAATTTTTAAACTTAAAAAAATTATGTGAATTAAATTTGGGAGAATGATAGGTAGGTCCTAAGGGAATTAATTAATTTTAGAGTGTTAACAAAGTCCCTTAGTCCTTCAATGAAAATATCAAGTTTAATAGCTCCATTGATTTGCAAGTTTGACTTTGAAATTTGTAATTTTATTATGATGAATTTGTAATTTATTTTATAAATTTAAAAAGGACTGAAGAATAAATAATAGACAATAAAAAACTGAAGGATCTATTTATTTTATTGATAAGCCCACCTATATCCTATTACATCCATTTTTTTGTCCATATGATCTCATATATACATATTGAAAAATTGTAGACAAAATAGCTGGTGATGATATCAAACTCAATGGTTTAGGTTAGTTCTTACAAGAGCACAAAATGTTGGTTCTTAAGAGGGCGGTAGAGAACAACAAGAATATATCAAAGATATGCACAATACAAAGGAAGGAAGGTTTTTTGTAAATCCCTGAAGCTGTTAGACTTAATATTTTTTAATATTAAAGATAAACATTTGTGTTTCCTGTTAAAATTTAAAAAAAAAGTTGTAAATGCATCACAAAGTTGTCAAATTGAGAGCTAAACTTACAAATTTAGAGCTGTTAACTTCATATATTTCAATATTAAAAATGAATATTTATATTTTCTATTAAAATTTAAAAAATAAGTTACAAATACATCACAATGAAGTTGCAAATTTGGGAGTTAAACTTGAAAATCCCTGGAGTTGATAGACTTAATATTTTTCAACATTAAAGATGAATATTTGTGTTACCTATTAAAATTTAAAAAATAAGTTACAAATATATCACGATAAAATTGTAAAGTTAGGAGCCAAACTTTTAAATCTTTGGAGATGTTAGACTTAATATTTTATCACTGAAGAACCAAGAGACTTTATTGGTACTATGAAATTAGTTTGAAACTTAACTTGAATTAATTGATTTCCTTAAAACTTAACTATCATTCTCCCATTAAATTTCTCAATATGTAGTTTGACCATTTGTATTAAATAGATTGAATCAATTTAATATATCAAGCACAACATTGTGCAAGCTAACAAGATGTAAACTTGAAACCATTAAAAGGTTATGGATCAATCAACAATTGATTTGTTAAGTCCCGTGATATTAACATTGAATTTACTATATGTCCACTAATTATTGGCTATAGAATTTTATGTTGAAAATTGTGCCTTAGGACCAATCATTGTATTATGAACATTGTTATTTAATGAATTTTTCTTTTATTATCATATTAATTGCATGTTCACTATGATAACTGTATCATTAGATAAACTATAGTGATTGTTCTAAATGTTTCTGATTGGTCATCTATGAGGGATCATAGATGAAACAAGATTAATATGACTTTGATTAATTATAGAGATATAAATTAAAGTCGTAAACACTTAAAAGGGTTTGAGGTGTTAGATCGATTAGCTATGAGAAAGTTGCATGATACAAGTCATAAATTTATCTTATATGTAACCATATTACTAAGCTCTTTGACCTGAAATCATCATAAATTCCAACATAATGACCACTGAACTTTGACCTAGTCAAAAGTCAGTTTAACCAGATGATCTTAAAGGCTATGATTGAGCTTAGTGATATTTATGCAGAGAAATATGAGTAGTTAAGATTAACCATACTATAATAAAAAAGATTTTTTTATTGTTATAGTCAGTCCACTTAGAGATCAAGTAAGTAATGGTTAAATAAAGGAGAATGAAAATTTCATGTCTTACAGTTAACTGAAATATTGCATGATAAAAGGGACGTGATACAATTATATGATAGGTCATATTGGATCATTGATTTCTATATGAATTAGGTAGTTTCAATATCTTGCTAGAAGTTATTTGTGACTTATGGGCTAGCAGTGTAATTAGTCTACTACCAACTTCATATGGGTCTATAGGGTCACATACAAGAATAACCCAACTTGAACTATAATGTCTAAGTTCATTAAATCTAGAATATATCTAGATTTAATAAATGTAATGCTTTATCTAGAGTGAATGAATTTTATATATATATATATATATATTTATTTATATATTTCAATATTTATTTGACAAATATATATATATATATACAAAATATAAAATTCAAAATATAATTATATATATAAATATATATATATACACACACACGTGTGTGTACTGATATATATATATATGTATGTATATGATATATAAAATATATATATTCAAAATATATATATGCATGTATATCTGATATATTATATTATATTATATTATTATGTTAGTTTTAAATTTAGTTTTATATGATAAAATTAAATTTAACAACTAACATGATATAAGAATATATCATATCGATTCTATAATTTAAATTTATAAATAAATTTAAATTAGATATTATATTATAAATTAAATTTATGAGATAAATTTAATTTTATTTTCACTAACTCAAGATATGATTTTTAAAATAATTATGATTATTTTTGAAAATTCAAAAGGAAGACAAAAGCCCTAATCTATATATAATATAGAGAACGAGATGTGCTTTAGTAAGCAAAAATTGAGAGAATCTCTTGATGGCAAAACTTTAAAAACTACAAAAATTTTCTAAAAAACAAAAGGAGTATTTGATTGACAGACTTATGGACATTTGATACGAAGAGCACTAGCATGCTGTTCGTCTAGATACTAGTAGAGGGAACAGATTTACATTGTTAGCTCTTGAGATCCAACTACTTGAAGACAACACATGAAAAAATCAAAATAAAATGTAACTCTTCTATCCATCTTAATTTAAATAAGTTCGATCGGTCTACAATTATGATTGGGATTTAAATTTTTTTAATCTTCCGCTGCGTCTTCCAATCCAACATCTTTAACCGTCCATCTTTAGAGTGTAAAGATGCCTTGATTTTTGGTATGCTAATTATGCTTTTCTTTGTATAGTTTGCTGAGGGCTTATATTCCAAAAAAGAAACAATACCACTCATCTCAAGCCTATAGATATTTATATGAAACAAAAGGCTTTTACTTTCTAGTTTTCCTAACAAAATTTGGAATGTGATTCAATTTTAGAAATAGAGTTGGAGTATTTTAATTAAGCTCTTATGTTCTGCTGCATGATGTGTCAAGAGTTCATTAGAGAGGTATAAGCTAAGTTGTATTATAACACAGCGTATCAATTCAAGAATGGAGTTCATGGTGGTTTTTGTATCCATTTTTTCTCACTCTCTGATCCTATCTTTATCAAAGACAAAAATCCGCTATAGCCCACTGGAATTCCAAGCATGGCCCCTGGTTTTCACTTTCTCAAACCAATTGTATTTCTCTTTCAGCCGATCCTTCTCCTTCTACTATTCTTTTATATCTCTCCCTCTCCACTCTCTTTCTTCATCACCATCTGCTCATGATTTTCAATCCCATTTTTCACACTGATCTCACCCATTTGCCCTCAACCTCAATCTCTACAAAACACTGTAGAAACTCTAGCCCTCGCCTCAATACTCTCCTCCTTTCTCTCCTAACACTGGGCATTCGGGGTTGTAGAGTCTCTTGCTGCATTTTTTTCGCAGTTTTCTGCAATACCCAGTACTACTTTACTATCACCAAATTCTCTATGGTCCCTTCTTTTATTATGTGTCTATAATAGCTCCGAGTGTATCTAGGAACATTTCACAGTGTCTGCTTGTTTCGATTTTCAGATCGTAATAATTCTGCATCTACAGTGGAATGCTAATTAAGCTTGGTTTTTCTGCTGGATTTGAATTGCATGGGGATTGAGAGGAGGTTGGCTGATAGGAGAGACAAAAACTTCTCTGAATTAACCGAGAGACGACTGCCAACAAGAAATCAATAATGAAGAATCGGCGACGTCAGAAGAAGACGTCTTCGGTTCAAAAATTATTCAAGGCATGCAAGGAAGTGTTTGCCTATGGCGGGACTGGGATTGTTCCACCCCCTCAAGACATTGAGAAGCTGCGGTCTATTTTGGGTATGTACTTCAATGATTTATTCGAATTACTATCCGGTGTAATGTGTATTGTCGGAGCTTTATTATATATGGGATTGTATTCTTATGCAAAAAATTAGATCAAAATGAACCTCTTTGTGGGGGTTTTTTTCCCTCATTCGGCTGAAATCTTCCCTTTCCTTTAACAACTAACTGATCTGCATTATTCCTTAGTTGGGAGTTAACGGTACAGTTACAAATTTTATTATTTTATGTTAATACTGATAATGTTGAAATTGATATTGTCTTGAAAATACTGCGGGTGATGGGATGTACTCTCTCCTTTGAGGACGTACTATGTTTCCAAGAAATGCTTTCGTGTCTAACATGCACGTGTGCATATAATTATTCGAAGTTGTTCAACTATCGATCATATAAGAAATAGTTTTCCGTTCTTTTTGTTACAAAGAGATTATATCTACAGTGCAGGTTTGAGTTTGCTGTGAAATGCTGAGAACGTGAATTGGTTTGACCAAAAATTTGGTCTATATTGTTTTTGAGTTCCTATATATTATTAGCTGGACCACCGCAAATCAACGAGTTGAAATCCTCTTTTGTGCAGATGCAATAAGACCAGAAGATGTTGGGCTGAAACCTGAAATGCCGTATTTCCGGACAAGCCATGCTCAAAGAATTCCAAGAATTACATACCTGCATATCCATGAATGTGAAAAGTTCTCGGTAAGCAATTAATTAAGCCAGCGATCATTTTCAACTGCTATATATATATATATATATATTTTTGATGGTTACTAGGAGTCATATGATGTTTCTATTTGTTGGCTATTGTAACTGTATTTCTATGTCAAATCAATCATTGCAGATGGGAATATTTTGCTTGCCACCTTCTGGTGTTATTCCTCTTCATAATCACCCTGGAATGACGGTTTTCAGTAAACTACTTTTTGGGACCATGCACATCAAATCATATGATTGGGCGGTCGACTTGCCCCCTCACAATCCCACCAGTTTCCAACCAACGGAAAGTGAGCATTCCAATTTATTTAATATTCAGAAACAGATATCGGGCTTTGTATAAAACAGATGGAAAAACTTGGTTATTTTCTTCCTCCCTCTTCATCTTCTCTCACTACTATTTGTGATTATTCCAATTATGCAGTCCAGAGTTCCGAGGTGCGATTAGCTAAAGTGAAGGTTGACGCTGACTTCACTGCTCCTTGCAACACCTCGATCCTTTATCCCGCCGATGGAGGAAACATGCACTGCTTCACCGCAGTGACGGCATGTGCAGTTCTGGATGTTCTTGGTCCTCCATACTCTGATCCCCTTGGCAGGCCCTGCACTTACTACCTTAGTTACCCTTTTCCCAGCTTTTCAGGTATATATGTATTTTTCCACTATCACACCATTTTATTGCTTTCTAAACCATTCGTGCGTGCGTGCGTGTGTACAACGGTATATGCTAGCTATTTGCTTCCTCACTTAATAATTAACTTGTTTTGAAACTCCAGCAGATGGAGTTTCCGTAGCAGAAGAGGAAGAGAAGGCTTTCGAGTGGCTTCAAGAGTCGGAGAAACCTGAGGGTTTACAAGTAGTTGGAGCCATGTACGGAGGCCCCAAGATTGTGGAGCACTGAACTGATCTTTACACCCATTCGGCCATTCACTCATCTCTCTACCATCGTCAAGTTCCTCTCTGGTCCCTCAGTTCAGTCTTTTTCTGATGTAGGTGCTGACAACTTTTCTGTCAATGAAGTGAGCCGATTGGACGCCAGGCCAGCTTCTCTGAACCGGTGGTGCGAAACTTTTGTTGATCTTTCTTTATGCACTTTTTTCTAGTTTTCCCTTCTTATCTTTATTGAATATATTTTAAGGCACCTAGCGATGTTTTTTCTGAGACTACAGGATCTGATATTGCGTGTACAGAATCAAAAAACAGTGAATGATAAAATTATGAGAGACACAACATCGGAAACTGATATTTGGGAGGATAAATGGTATATGCAGTGGTCTTGATTGATATCTGAATCACAGTTTGTTGGCCTTAATGCCATTTCGAGGACCCTCACTTAGCTTCAATTAACTAGTCTTGTCGATCTGCAGACTCATATTTCTTTTTGAAGCAGTCAACTTCAGTCTTTCGTGACCATCATATACATAACATGTGCCAACATATACACAACGTGTGTGTGTACTGCCAAATAATATTGATCCTACTGGTCATCACTTATGAAAAGTAATATTTTTATATTACTATATGAATATGGATTTGTTTGTGTTCATTTGCGGCACTACGGATTAATCATCACTTCGTTCATTCGTGATCTGCTTGTTGCTAGCTCTAGAGTCCAGACGAATTGTTCATTGACGTCCAGCTACTAGCTAGTATATGAGGAAAGTTTTCTCTGGCTATATATAAGAACAGCATATAAACTAATATATACGTGTGTTCGCGAGGACAGTGGAAGATTCTGTTATCTGGTCCCAGTCCCAGAAGAAACATACAATAAATTAATTATAAGATAATGTTTCAAGAAATTTCCTCGTTGCTTCCGATCAGATTATTATTTTGCCAGGGTCTATGCCTACCCGCACTTATAAGGCTTAGATGCAAATATAAATTTAAAGAATTGCACAAAGCACAGGAGAACCGTAACATCTGGAATCTTTGACAGCACCATATAAATTGTTGTTTTTAAATAAAAAAATCCCGTCGCACAATTCATTATTTTAAAGATCCTAAGAATAAACAAATGTTGGCCCGTTTCAATTTTTTTTTTAGTATATTCATTTTTGTCTTAATACGGTATTCATTTTTATAATATTAAAATTCATATCTTCGTCGTTCTCGTCGTCTTCTTGATTATTGTTTGCTAATTCACGTAGGAAAATGGATGGAAAAACATCATTCTGGACCGGCGAGAGTGTCTAATATCAATTAAGAATCAAAATATTTTGAAATATCACTGAGGATTAGGAGACTAATTTAAAAATAATTTTAAATTAAAAAAGACTATAATACCCCTGTCATTTGTGAATGAGAAAGTAACTATTTGTATATTTAATAAGAAGTCATTAAGTGTAAATCATGTTTTAGCAAGCAACCATTCATTAATTAACAAGTACTCATTTGTATTTAACAATAAATTATTCGTTAATTAATAAATACCCATTTATATTTAACAAAAAATCATTTGCAAGTTGATAAATTTTAAAAAAGAAAAAAAAAGCAAGGGTGTTATAGTTTTTTCCCATATAAACTTATTTTCAAATCAGTCCCTTAGTCTTATAGTAATATTTCAAAATTTTTTATCCTTATTTAATATTAAATTACTTCAGTAGTTTTTGAATGATATTTTCCCAAAATGAATACAAAACTTTGTATAAAATATGCTAAAATGTCAAAAAAAAAATCTGTAAATTTTAATATAGTTACATATAACTCCCCCTTCAAACGTTAAAATTAACCCTACCATTATGTTGTTAGCATAGTTTGCCATGTCAAATTAAGAAAAGCCACATAGAAGGCTATGTGGTATCTAAGGTAAGCAAATAATAAATGTATAAAAACTGTATTATTTTTTATAACGATTAAAATTCTATTTATCTTTAAAATAAAAGAAAACAAAAGAAAACAAAAATTTTTTTTATAGTTCTCGTTTTTCTTTTCTCAAAGAACTATTTATAATCAATTTTTTATACTTTTGAATATTTTTATTTTCATTTACTTAATACAAAAAGTTGTTTTAGTTAATAAAAATAATAAAATTATAGTTTTCTCTTAAATTGTGTTAATAGCGAATAATAATAATGTCGCTCAACTAAATTAAATAAGAGCATTGTTATATGTGTTAAAAGGTAAAAGTTATAGCTTTTGCCCTCCTTAAATTATATTAAAAAATAATAAAAATATTCTTTCCATATTATGTGCCATATGTATTGCATTAATCTAACATGACAAACTCTATTGATAACATAACATAGTTAACTAATGGTGGGGGCCTTAAAAAACAAAATTAAAGATTAGTAAGCTTAATTTTAAAGGTTTAAAAATAAAAGAAGTTATCTACAATCGTCTCAAAGTTTAGAAGAATTTTATATAATTAAGCCAAACAATAATATTGAATCCATAATATAATATACATGGCTTTTGAAAAAGTAAAAATTAAACGTAATTTCTTATATTTTGTTATGAAATTTTTAACTGAAAAGAATTATCAGCACGCAACGTTCTTAATTAAAATTAAAATGTGTATATACAATTTAATTGTCAATGATATGCAATAATTAATTATACGCCGTTATATTTAAAGAATTAATTAATAATAAAAATAATAAAAATGTGAAATTAATTTGTTTGATTATGAAAATACTGCTGGTTTTGTAGCAATAAGCATCGTTTCATGAGCTATACGGCGGGCATCGTCAAATCTAAAATATTCTGTTTTTTTTGTTGTGGTTTTCCCATTGGTTTGGATTCCACTTTTTTATAATATTTTCATGTTAAGATAACTTTAATCTTGAAATTTTAATAAGACAATATAAATCAGTGGGCCTGATCTTCATTCCTCCTCTTTCATCGCATCGTAAAGCCAAATTAATTACTTAATCCACGTGATTATCAGTGGGAATTTGTGTGTGATTATTGATATTATAATATTTTATTTAAATAATGAGTGATGGGTCCCACCTGGAGGGGAGGATGGGGATCTTGACCTTGTCTCGTGCATCTCATTTCAGTAGGTGGCCATCACTATCTTTCACTTCTGCTCCTAACCTCCAACAGTACATGCCACTGGACAACGACATATTTACAACGATCCAATATCATCAAATCCTCATCACCTTCCAAAAATTAAGATAAATGAATCTGGACTTGTCTTGGGTAGTATTCGAGTACTCCTACGTACTAATTAAACATTAGAATATGATCACAAAGCGCGCAGGCCCTCCTCCATGAGATCAGCGTTAATTAATTAAGATCCTTAAATTCTATTATCTCCATCCATCTTGCGTGGCTCGTTCTTAATTCTTAGTGAATTGGAAAAAACGCAACCTATGTATGCACTGGACTGAAAGGCGAAGCCAGACCTCACGTTCCTCTCACGTTGAAAGCGAAACGTTTGCTTTATGTTTTTATTTACATTCCAAACACTACGCACACCTTAAGTAGCCTGCATATACAATTAAATGAAAAGGGTTCTTAGGTCGGTTAGGCATGCATGTGAATATACTTAATTATATATATATATATATATATTCAACTTAAGTGATTTACTTCCCCTCTATTAATTATTGATTAACACTCAAGAGGGGGGGTGTGTGTGTGTATGCTTTGCGTGCACTCTAATTAAATTTGGAAATATTGCAAGTATGACTGCCTAATGCCATGGTAATGGGTAACACATCCTAATCCTATACATACATACATACATGTCAATTTTTTTTAGATTGGACAGCCACTTGGGCTAGCTGCTTCTGCTATACTACTCCAATTCTTAATATAAGATAAAGTTTGAGAGTATTTTTTTATCTATAATGTTAGGCGAAATTATAGTAATTACTGTTTTTTTAAATTTTAACCCTTAATTATTTATTTGTTGTTGTTTGAATTCCTAGAATATAATTTATTATAGTTATTAATTACAAAGAATGGTAAAATTGAAAAGTTACACATTTTTAAATAATTTTAAGGATACAACTATATATCATTTCTTAATGAGCATAAAATTGGTTAATTTTAATTTGTCTTATATTAAAGATTGGAGTAGCATATATTTTGCCCGCACTTCTCTTTACAATATATATATATATATATATATATAATGCATATTTTGGGCGCTGCAAGTTCTTGTTTGTTTACAGAGAATGTATGTATATAAGTAAAGTCAAGTAATTAAGCGGCTTGAACCAAAATAGAGGCTTGCACATAAAAGGCGACCTTATTTTTTTTTGTTAAAATGGGGGACCATATGATATATCTGTAATTTCTCTCCTCACTTTAAATCTAAATTACAAGTATTAGAATTTTCAATTTTGGGTGGCGTACACACACATGCATGGATTTTATTAGGGTTTTGTGACTTAGGAAATGGGAGTTGGGATGAATAAATGTATAAAACCTTATCTCGGATAAAATTGAGTTTAATCAGCGGCGGAACCGGCTTGCAACTTTCAGGGGGGCCAGTTTTTTTTTAAATTAAGATATATTGTTATTACAAATATTAATTTATTTTTTATAAATCATATGTCAAAAATATTTAAATATTTACATAATGAATTTTCTTAATAGTTTGTGTGTGTGTGTTAACACATTACTTGCACTGTAAGTCTTGCTATTAGTGTTTTTAATTTATTTTTAAATTTAAAATTCAATTATTGATTTGATTCAAAAAATACCTTAAATATATAGCCTTAATTACTGAATTTCTTAAAATAATTATATAAAATTATATACCACTGAATATTGATGATTTTGTGGGGATAGGATAAATTTTCAAATTTTATAAAATTTAGTTAATATGTATAAGATATGAACTTTAAGTATGCAAGTTAGATAATAAAAAAAATATTGACACAAGTGATGATTTTTTTTATAAATAATTGGAATGTGTTTTTTTCGAATAATTTAGCTTTCTAGGAAATAAATAATTAATATGTAGATATAAATATTACGTACCATTCTTTTATTGTTGATAAAGAGTTAATATTAATTAATAACGAGATCTTTTCATGAACTAATTAATTTTATAATGTATCACAACTATATATCTTAGTGTGTAATATATTTATATTTATGAGATATGTATATTATATACTATTTGTGTGTAATATGAGTGTGTGAATGGAGTAAGGTGATTGTGTTTATACTTTTACTCATTCTGGGAGGGAATTACGGTGGAAATTAATTATAGTGGACTGATTGACATATATGTTTAGTAATGAGGTGATTCTGTTGTTGAGTTTAATATTAATATAAAATAATATAAAATGATTCATAAATTTAAACCTAGTGGACTTGGACAGAC